TATTGACCAATAAACTCCTCTACGTCCCAGCTCTTACGGTACATTGTCTCCCAACAGTTTCCTGTCGCTTTTCTGACGACCTGAACGTGACGACAAACATAAAAAGTTTTTAAACCTTTTTTTCGACGATTACTGACATATCTAACATGACTATATCATACATTAATTTACTTGCAATGCTTTAATCTTAGGGGGAAAATGCTATTTCGAAGGAGGGTAAGCCAAAAACTGAACTAAAAAAGTGAAAAGTGGAGAGCCAGACTCCAAATTGGTTATCTCGCGGACTCTCCCCTAAGTTAGTTCAAAATAAGCCATTTCTAGGTAAAAAAATATTTGGAAAGTAAACCCAAACGCTTTCGACACTTGGTTGTCATCAGGGTCATCATCACTTACGCAGCTGATGACCAAGGGTCGAAAATGTTTAGATTTTACTTTTTAAATATATTTTTTCCCTGTAAATATATCATTTTAAACCTAAGCGAACTTTATGGATATCACGAAGCTCAAAATGGTTTCGCAATTTTGAAAGCCAAATCTGTGATACCTTGATCAATCAAGTAAGTTGTTTTAAAAGAATCAAAAGATAAATAATAGTCAAAGTGAATAATCTCACTTGGTTGTTGACAATAAGCTCCGCACGAACTTTATTTACTTTACATCCCCCACCAATGAGAAACGAGATACTCTTGCCAACGATACGAAAACAAGGTGAGGTGAGGGTTCCTAGGGGTACGTCTGCTTCATCTGGATGCTGCTCACCTGCGGGATCGCTCTCACTAGTCCGTTTCTCAGCTCCCCCCACCCACCAGTTCCCTTGCAGCTGGGCGCTTTCTCTTTTGCGCGCGACTGGATTGTCACCAAATGTTGGCTGGTAAATGAAAGCTCTGCCTGTCATTTTCCACCTGCCGATTCCATCTTCAAAGTCAAGGCTGCAGGCTACATAAAAAAAAAAACAACAACAACAACAACAACAAAAAACACAGAAAGTTTCATCCTGCCGATGATTATCATTCGGTACTCATTCCACTTTACAGTTTTGTGTTTAATTACCTTTCTCGCAGTATATACCAGTGAATCCTAAAGGACATTTACAACGAAATCCTTTATCAGTGTATCCAGCTCGACATGTGCCATTGTTGAAACAGGGACTGCTACTACAGGGATTCTGGTGAAGACAAAATGACCTCGTATTATAAACACCCATGGCTAATTTACCTTCTCGGGTTATCATGTAATCTCAAAGGGACACATTCTTGCTGGAACGATAACTTCTCGTGGTTTTTTGATAAAGTAAGAGCGGGCAAGAAATAATTACACTTCATCTTTCATTAGACCAATAACAATTGTTCATCGTCTAAATAAGTCACTTTACCTCGATACTGAGATGGCTATAATCTTCTTTGCTCTGAGGATAGGACAAGCCTGGACTCTCGTCCGAAGCATTGTTCAACTCACAAATGTAGTTTCCTCCTTGTGAAGGCCCAATATTTATGGACACACAATTGGGCTCCATATAACACAGTACATTACAGCTGCCTTGATGGGGCACCTCTTCAAGCCTGATTAGGTGGCCTATCATCACTTTGTCCTTTATGGGTTCTTTGAAAACAATGGATCGGCATTCTTCACCTCTTTGGTTTGCAAATGACAAAACAACTTCAAGTATAGTTTTGGTTTAGAATAAGATAATGGCAGGGTAATATCCTTAACAAATTAGTTTGCCTCGAGAGACACTGGATAGTGGTTTGTTGCTGCCTTATTGTACTCTGAGAGGTTTCCCTGCAGCGTCATCCTAGGAGTTTGAAACTTCTGCATGTCGGCTTTTTACTAAAGAAAGAACTTGTCTCAGCAGGTATCTCTGTGATTTTACCGTTAGATTGAGTGTACACTGAATCAAGTTGTAAAAACCAGAGGGGAGCTATTCGACAAAGAAGAAAGCAATTAAACTACATCCCTTCTATAGTCGATCTTGGCAGAAAGAACTATGCTATGCTCTATATGTCGGTTCATAAGTCTACTGGAAATTTAATCACTGCGTCGGGTTTTGCCAACAGCGGCACTAATGGGTATTTTTCAGTGAGAAGATGTACCAATTATAATTGACATTAATTTTCACAGAACTCTCCTAAAACTAGACAAAGCAAATCCATCGTTTACAAATTGCAAAATTGACTTACCGGAACATTCAGAGGAAATCGGAATAATGATACCGCTTTGAAAGAAGAAGCTTAAAATTATTACGGCAGCTTCGAGTTTCGTTCTGCACGTTTCTGCCATTCGTTTGTTTTCTAGGATAAGAAGTTACCAGCCAAGCCTTGAAACAGCAGTTTGCATTATTTTAACAACAGTTATTTTAACAACAGCCATCTCTGTCCTGCTTAAGGTGGAAAATTGCTGTATATGCCAATATCTTTACGAAATGTTCGAAAACTTGAACTGACTGCAGTTGGCTTGTTCAACAGAATGTTATCAAGAAGATATTCGTGCTGTTGTTCGTGGCTAAGACAGGTGCTGCTTCAAAGATTATGGATTATGTACGATTCTGGCCACAAAGATGCCAGCGGGGAATATCCAGTAGCTATTTAGCCAATCAGACGAAAGCAATGAGTAAAACAGTTTTATTACCTTCAAAATAGCTCTGTTTGAGGATCCGTCAACACCATTTTCTGTTATTTTATCGCATGAGAGGTAGGATGTTAAGCTCAACTGCGGCTGTTTCTCTAAATAGTGTATCATTTCACAAAACATATAACCTTCTGGTATAGCGTTACGTACCAAAGTTAAATAGCGGCTCAACTCTTAATGAAGTTCCAAGCTATTATTCCGATTGAATGACGGAGATTGCCTAATGTAAAACGAGAACTCTTTGTTTTCACGGGCAATTTTAGCAGAGGCTAATATTCTAACAAACTTCACGGAAATACTGAAGTATCTAATTAATGACGCATCATCAAGTTAGTATGATGACATATCGTTGACAGCAACGCTTTTCACGATCACGAATTTGTTGAGTGGACAAAATGAAAATTAGCGAGAGCAGGTGTCTTGAGGCGTTTTACGTGAGGCTAGTGTTGTGAAACATGTTATTGCATAATCAATAATTGCAAAAAACAAAAAGATAAAATAAATAATCGGTAGAATGTTAGCTTATACACGCGAGTGAATCATCTAGAGGAATTTAAGGCGTACGTTTGGGCTGGAACATCCTGTAACACACAGAAATATGTGACACGTGCTCCGCAAATAGCGGGTGTGGGTTTAATTGCTAGGGGCTAATTGGATTAGTCTGGGTAAGGACGCAAGTCAAACTGTGCGACAGGAAAATGGCCTAGTTAAGCGCAAATAAGCATTGTGAATCTCAGATTTACGTAACTAGGTGTGTCACTCCGTTGTGATAAAAAGAGATAACATGTTGTAATTGAGGGCATTCGGAATAGACATTGAGATCGACTGAACGTAAATTGTACGGAGATTGTAGAGGCGTACGCGGATCGTAAATAAACTTGAAAAACCAGAAAGACACAGTCCTATTGATTGCTGTACCAGCGGAACGCAGGGATTTTCCTTAACGCAGTGGAGAATTCTGCAACAGCTAGATTTAGAATGTGAAATGATAATGCAAGTAAAACAAACGTCACTTTTACAGGAGCTGTTGACTATTTTCAAGCGACTAAACTTCTGTGCATGAACGAGCCATATTGAGAAGCGTTAGAAGCGTATTAAATCGAAGTGTTGCTTCTCAACCCTTCTGATCAGGTAGATTAATTTGCATAGATGCCTGTATAATCTAGCGTAAGAAAGTCGCTCTCTATTGGTTTAACAGAAGTTTCATATGCATGGGGCAATAAAGCAGCTAAAAAACAACTTCCAATAAAGAAATTTCTCTTGTTAATAAGAGAAATATTTTCTAGTTTAGCCCTTTACCAGTTCTGCAGCTCCGCGCTTCAACGCGCACTTGAAAGTTAGCGTCGTTTCTCTTTAAGGTAACTGTTGAGACACGAACAATTGCGTGACCGTGGCACGTTGTGTTACCCAAGTTAACAATTAACATGTTCTGGGAGATTTTCCATTTTTTAGCCTTTTTTGAAATCTGACAATAACAAATTGCGATAAAGCATGTCTTAAAATCATTTTAAGATTAAAAATTGCTGAAAGACGGCGTTTTGACGTTAGCTAAACGTCATTATCAATTCAAAAAATATGTTTGTGAGTTCCAGTCTATAAATACTTAAAAAACAATAGCTGATTAAAAGCTGTAACGTGAGTAAAAGATGATTAAAAATATTAAACAAAAAGTTTCGCACGTATCATGGAGTCAGTCTGAATATTTAAATTAGGCTTCATTAAGATTCTTCATGAAGAGCATTTCAAATACAAAAGAATCAAATTTGCCTTGGCACTTTCTTAAAACTTTGAATTGGTTTTCTTTCAAGAGGTTGTTGTTACCGTGAGTTTCTATGAAATGTATACCGATTGCCGAATTTTTTGTACTCAACGATGCGTTGATGAAGGTGTCGGGCTGTGTATCCGACATAATCTGCATTGCACAGATCGCGTGAAAAAAGATAAACAACACACTGCCTATTAACAAAGTCACACTGATAAACGCTATAAAGACTCTTCATTAAAGACAAAGATACATCGTGCCTATGCCTTGTCGTCCACAACAGAAGCTTTCAATGCAGAATGTGCTAAGTTGCGCTCCATATTTAGTCACCTTGACTCTCCCATGAGTCTTGTTGATTCTGCTATCAACAATTTTCCTTTTCGAAATACTACATCCTGAGGTGCATGTAATGGTGGTCACGTTTTTATTATGCTCTGGTTTTTCCTCTCCTGTTTGCTTCCCTTTTTTACTCTTGGCTCTCATGCTACCCTGAACTGGGAGATGATTAGTTTCCACGTTACTCGTTCTTGGGAAATAACATCAAGCCGCCACCTGAATCTGGCCTGGAAGCGTTTTACTATAGTACAAGTCCAACTCGCCGCCTGGCCGCCATTTTGGGCTCGCCAAGAAAGGTCACGACGACAAGAGTATTTTTCTTCCTCCTTCTCCTGGGCGGAGATATTCATCAAAACCCTGGCCCGATAAAGTTCCCTTGTGGAATTTGTAGCAAACCTGTTAAGATAACCCAGAAGGGGCATTTGCTGTGATTCGTGCGATCGATGGTATCACAGTCGTTGCTGTCTAATTGGCGATCATATGAACGATATCCTGGCAAATTCGTCGTGTTCGTGGATATGTTGCGACTGCGGGCTACCGAACTTCTCTGATTCACTATTTAACTCGTCCATGGAAAGTAACCTTAATAATAACTCCTTCTCTTCGCTTTCATCCATTGATTCAAACCTGTCAGATCATTTCACTCCCAACTCGAAGAATGAGGGAGAAAACAAAACTTGAAAAACCTGAAAGTTTTAAATCTCAATTGCAACAGTATCAAGAGTCAACAAAAAGTGGCCTCTTCAAAGCTAAGGTCGAGAACTAGAAACTTCATATTATGATAGGAACTTAATCTAAACTTGATGAGTCAATCAAAAACTCTGAGGTCTTCCCCAGCGACTACGATATATTTCGTAAATATCGAATCGATGCCAATCCTGGAGGTGGGGCTTTTATCGCTGTACATAATTCTATTATTAGAGACCTTTAGATTCGACGACGACTTCGAGGACGAGTGCAAGTTTTGGCCGTGCGGAATTGGCACTATTGACTGGCACTCGTACGCGCTCTTGTCAAATTGCAACATTTAGATGTCGCAACGAGTGCGAGTTTTTTGTTTACTTAGTTTCGTGCGCAATGCTTTCGAGGAAAAATATGTTAGCAGCATGTCAGATGCTGTACCTCGACGACGTACTCGATGAAGAGCAAGTAATAAGTATTTTCAGTGATCTCACCAGAAAAAACCCGCCGTTTCCGTATTAGAAATATGATAAAATTGAGTTGCAAATGGAAAACATGTCAGAAGCTGAGGTGAAAGCTGAATTCAGGTTTTCTCCCTCTGAAATACATCTTCTTAGTCAAGCTCTCAGAATACTAGAAACATTCACCTGCCCAAATGGAACTGTGGTTTCTGGAGAGGAAGGTCTTCTTATGCTTTTGAAGAGATTTGCGTATCCGTGTCGACTGAGTGACATTGTTCTTCGTTTCGGTCGCTCGGTTCCCGAAATCAGCTTAATTTTAGCAGAAGTAACTGACCACGTTGTCAATACTCAAGGCCATCTTCTTCAAGATCTCAACCAGCCTTGGTTACAGCCGCATCATCTGGACGAATTTTCCCGAGCCATCAACCAGAAAGGCGCAGCCTTAGGCAACTGCTGGGGCTTCGTCGATGGGACGATTAGACCGATCTGCCGGCCCAGAGAAAACCAGTGCGTCATGTATAATGGCCACAAACGAGTGCACTGCTTAAAGTTCCAGTCTGTTGTGGCTCCGAATGGCATGATCGCCAATTTGTTTGGTCCTGTAGGTAAGCTCATGCATGTACTGTACGTATATTTTGGTTTCATTACATCATCACGGTATCGAAAATGCAAAGAAAATGCTACCTGAGAAATGTGCTAACTATTAGTAATGTGCGCTGGGCGAAAATGGGGATCGAGGCGTATTTCTTGAAGGGAATAGTAGAAGTTTGGAGCTCTGTTTTCAGTCTAAATGTACAATTTTCTCTGGGTGGTGAAGGTATTTTCAGAGTGCGGTCATCGGAGTTATGCGGACCGCTGAGGAAACAGCTCTTTGGTGAGTTCTACATTTCTTAAATTCAGGTTCAACATTCAAGCGTAACAATTGCAATTGACTAAGTGTCCATTCACAGGATAAAGTGTTATTTCTTAACTTTCCCATAGGTATGTTGTGAAGTAGCTAACGTGAACTACTGAATTAGTTTATGGTCACATTACTGTTAAAAGCTCAGGAGAAATTATATTGTAGGTCCCCGCCATGGGGCATTTGATCAGAGAGGGTTGGCTGAGGTGGGGCATTTAAAAATGTAATCAAAAACAGAGAATTATATATCTGTTCTTTTTTAAAGAAAAGAAACAAAAGCCCGCTTTATTAAATATCAGAAGGATTAACCCTGTGTAAAGAAGAGAGATGTAAATTCTCTTCCTGAGATTTCACCCATTGAAGACTAGCTCATATACCCCTCCCCTGCTCCTAAAAATTCATGTTGGTCTTTTATGTGTGAGAGAATCGAGGCTGGAAGTGAGTATGGTGTAGGTTATTGGTTAAGACAAAAGGACATAGAAGGTTTAATACAAACCTTTGAAAGTAAGTTCTTGACATTTTTATAACAAAAACGGATCATATTTTTCTTTGAAGGGATCAGCCTTCTTTCAATGAGTTTGCTCTGCAAACATTGTCTTTGCGAGTTCATCTTTGTCTTTGTGAAGCCCGGTGTGCACTACTTTTGAAAATGTTTGAATCAATTTCAATATGCTTTATTCAATACCATACTTAAAAAGTTGACTGTTCATGA